AGTGAACCTTTGGTTTCACCAACATAAATAAGTCCACACAAAGATAACATTCTATTCCGTAGACAACATTAGAAGATTTGCAGTTTAGATTTTCCCAAGTTTTGGTATAGGAGCTCTGTCCAGTAAGACCACTAGCAAAAGAAGTGTTAGTTATCAAAATGTCACAGGTTTTACAGTTTTTCGCAGAACATTTTGAAATAGAAGACATGGGATCGGAAAAGTGATCTTCGAATATGTCTCTAATAGAAACTTTACATTCTTTCAAACTTTTGTATGAACTATCGGTTTTATACCAAAACTGGGAATCTGAAGACTGCATATATGACATATGTTTAATATCCCTGAGGATTATCTGAGGGGCAACGAATGAACTCTTCGAGTCTGTGTCCCTTGTAGACTCAAAAGAGGGACGCCTTTTTATATACTGAGCGACGCGTCTGTCAGTAACATATTGTTATTCTGTATACTCATGAATGAAGAGGTACCAAACGACAAGTATCCTCGGGGACAGACTGTCCACCAGCAGAGATACATGTTCGGTGGGTAAAATGAAATATTTGGAGATGGCAAACAGTCTTCGAGCTCAAAAGTCCATTAAACATTACAAAATAGGAGCAGAGCAATCACGGACCTCTAAGACATCAGAGGTGGAATCAGGTGCCATGAAAGAGTGAGCATCCCCTGCCGACCGGTCACATCCGCCGTGTGCTCCTTGTCATGATCGGGAAATAACGGAAAAATCCGTCGACAATTCAGTGTGTAAATAATGGCCTAACAATTACTATGAAAAAAGTAATGATAAATTGTATTTGCTGACAAGGTCATTGTGAACCTTTGGTTTCACCACTTAAATAAGCCCACAAAGAGTACATTCTATTCCATAGACAACATTAGAATATTTGCAATTCAGATTTATTTTAAGTTTTGGTATAAAAGCTCTGTCCAGTATGATTACTAGTAAACGGAGAGCTAGTGATCAAAATATCACAGGTTTTACAGCTTTTGACAGAACATTTTGAAATAGAACACATGGGATCGGAAAAGGAATCGTCAAATATATCTTTCATAGAAACTTTGCATTCCTTCCATTGTTTGTATGAACTGTTGGTTCTATAATATGAATACAAAAATAGGTCTCCAAGACAAAGTGAAAACTCACAGACACCTGTCTTTTTTTTTAATTTACAAGTCTTAATAAAAGCGTTTAAATTAATTTTGAATATTGATGAATTTTTTCTTTTGTATCTATGTGGCAGTTTGTTATTCATAATCTCAATGTAGCAGAATCCGTTACCCACAATGCACCTAGCAAATTATAATGTACGCTCTACTTGCAATTTGACTTTGTCAATTGATTCTATGGAGAATATTAAAACGACATAATAACTATAATTCCTTGGTTTTTCTAAAAGACAAGTAGAAAATTATACCATGAACAAACTTCTAATTGTGAATAGATTGAGCTCAGGCAATTGAATTAAATAAATCAAAGAAAATATGACCTATTAAACTTTTACACTTTTGTAGACTATTAATAAAACTAAATGATATTTACTTAAGATTTACTTTTATGTGCATGGAAAAAAATATCCGCGAGTTTGCAACCATCTTTTTCTCCGGAGTATTTGTCGCCGCGAACCATATGTTTAATTGTGTAGCATAAATGTTTATAAATGAAAACGTATATTCAAACTGATGAATCGCGAATAAAATTTCTCACGATTTATAGCTGATTTACAGTGATTGACCTTCTAAGGTTTCATACCAAATGGACAAAGTACATAAACTTTACAAAATTAATTGTTTTAGAGATGACCAAATTTATAATTTGTCCCTGGGATCAATCTTAGACTTAGTCAAACTTCAACAATCTGTACATTGTTTATCGATTTTACACAGGAACACCTGTATTTAACAGCACTCTTTCAATCTGGTACATTGTACAATATATATGGAGCACCCTTGTAATTTTTAAATCTTTGAGTACATCAAAGCAACAAACTGACATTTATCTAGATTTTTTAATGGTCGTAAGACTGATCATAAGTCAAAGTTATTATTAAAGATAGGTGCAGGAAAATAAAAGAGAAGAGAACAATAATCTAACTACAATAACAAGAGGCCCATGGGCCACATTGCTCACCTGAGTAGCTTTGGCCATGCTGTTCTTTACCAGATTTCCCCCTTTTCATATACCTATTGTGGCCCCACCCTACCCCCGGGGAACAAAATTTGAACAATTTAGAATCTACACTACCTCAGGATGCTTCCAAATATGTCTCAGCTTTATTGGTCCAGTGGTTCTTGAAAAGAAGATTTTTAAAGATTTTTCTTATATATTTCAATGTAAAACTTGGATTCCCTATTGTGTCCCGCCCTACCCCCGGGGATCATGATTTGAACAATTTAGAATCTACACTACCCCAGGATGCTTCCATATAAGTTTCAGCTTTTCTGGCTCAGTGGTTCTTGAGAAGAAGATTTTTAAAGATTTTTCTTATGTATATCAATGTAAAACTTGGATTCGCTATTTTGGCCCCGCCCTACCCTCGGGGGTCATGATTTAAACAATTTAGAATCTACACTACCCCAGGATGCTTCCATATAAGTTTCAGCTATTCTGGCCCAGTGGTTCTTGAGAAGAAGATTTTTAAAGATTTTTCCTATATATTTCAATGTAAAACTTGGATTCCCTATTGTGGCCCCGCCCTACCCCCGGGGGTCATGATTTGAACAATTTAGATTCTACACTACCCCAGGATGCTTCCATATAAGTTTCAGTATTTCTGGCCCAGTGGTTCTTGAGAAGAAGATTTTTTAAAGATTTTTCCTATATATTTCAATGTCAAACTTGGATTCCCTATTGTGGCCCCGCCCTACCCCCGGGGGTCACGATTTAAACAATTTATATTCTACACTACCCCAGGATGCTTCCATATAAGTTTCAGTATTTCTGGCCCAGTGGTTCTTGAGAAGAAGATTTTTTAAGATTTTTCCTATATATTTCAATGTCAAACTTGGATTCCCTATTGTGGCCCCGCCCTACCCCCGGGGGTCATGATTTGAACATTTTAGATTCTACACTACCTCAGGATGCTTCCACATAAGTTTCAGCTTTTCTGGCCCAGTGGTTCTTAAGAAAAAGATTTTTTCAGATTTTTCTTATATATTTCAATGTAAAACTTGGATTCCCTATTGTGGCCCCGCCCTACCCCGGGGGGTCATGATTTGAACAATTTAGAATCTACACTACTCCAGGATGATTCCATATAAGTTTCAGCTTTTCTGGCCCAGTGGTTCTTGAGAAGAAGATTTTTAAAGATTTTTCTTATGTATTTCAATGTCAAACTTGGATTCCCTATTGTGGCCCCGCCCTACCCCCGGGGGTCATGATTTTAACAATTTAAAATCTACACTATCCCAGGATGCTTCCACATAAGTTTCAGCTTTTCTGGCCCAGTGGTTCTTGAGAAGAAGATTTTTTAATGACCCCACCCTATTTTTGTCTTTTCTTGATTATCTTCCCTTGTAAGGGGACTTGGCCCTTTATTTTAACAATTTACACTCCCCTTCACCCAAGGATACTTTGTACTAAGTTTGGTTAAAATTGGCCCAGTGGTTCTTGAGAAGAAGTTGAAAATGTGAAAAGTTTACAGACGGACGGACAGACGGACAGACGGACGGACGGACAGACGGACGGACGACGGACAACGGGTGATCAGAAAAGCTCACTTGAGCTTTCAGCTCAGGTGAGCTAAAAAGTACTAATAACAGGGATTATGTACAAGAAATACGAAATATGCATACATTGTGCGTTAAACTAACATCCAATGTTTGGACATATAAATAGTAAATAAGATACAATGTTGCCCATGAATTTCTATGCAGGGGATGCTCATTCCTCCATGGCACCTGATCCCACCTCTGATGTCTTAGAGGTCCGTGTTTGCTCTGCTCCCATGTTGTAATGTTTGATGGACTTTTGAGCTCGAATACTGTTCGTTATCTCCACATATTTCATGTTATAAAAGGCATATATGACACAAAATTTGTATAAAAGTCCTATACGTGAAGTATGAAAACAAAGGTTGATTGATCCTCGCTATCCATTTTTTAAGAATACTGACAGCTAAAGTAAAAAACGAAATTCGATAAATCCAGAGATATAGATGAGGTTTTTTTGTATTGAAGAACACTGTTACTTAGATTACTTTACGAAAAGGACTGGCAATGAATCCGTGTTTTTTTATTGGTGGAGTGTGAATATAGCCAGTAATTGCTTATATCTAATTCAATGATGTAATCTATCGTTGTGAAATGTGAAGATAAAGAACAATTTTAATGCTCAAAAGTTTAATTAACAATACAAACTGTGAGTAAAACCAACACGGACCTCCGAAAACAGAGGTGAGATCAGGTTCCATGGATTCGGCATCACCTCCTATGTACCTCTTGTTCTGGATCAGGTAAACGGGAAAATCCATAGGCAATTCAGTGTGAAAATAATGGCCTAACAATTTGTATGAAAAACGTCAGTCATTATTCGATGAATATTTAATATGAACATCCTGCAGTGCAATAAAAATTTCTGAAAATCTCAAGATTTTAATGAATTTATATCAGATTGGTAAATAATATCTTATAATTTCAGAGAAGAAAACAAAAAGAAAACATTATCAATATTGTTAATTTTGAAAAATATCTTAATTTTAGTCTAAAATATGTTTTATTTTTAGGTCTATTATATTTGCTATGTGTGTCAACATTTGACCTTAGAGTTAATCACAGTTAATCGTAAATGTATTTTGGGATCAAGAAAAATATCTCACTGCACAAAATTACTCTAAAAGTAGTCTGCATTGATTTCTAGAAGCCAAACTTAACAGTACTTTAAATATTTTGAAATGAAGTTTTATATATAAAAAAAAAATCATGCCATTTTCTTTTGAAAACCGTCTGCAACTAAATATAGTTCTTCGTGTAATGTTTGTTCATAGAATTTAATTGTATCTTTTTTTTTAAATTAATGTAATTTAATTGGAATTGTAAAATCGAAATATATTGTTAAAACATATGTAAGACACAAAATTTTTAGACAAGAGTGTAGGCAAAGATCTACTCAAAAGCCGAGGATTGAACTTCTTGAATCATCAACTTATTTGTCAGTAGCTTGTCTCATTAAAAGAGTGTCCGTGCATAGAACATGCTCTTGCGTATATATAATCAACTGGGAGCCGTTATTAAGGAAAGTTGAGGATAGAAAATTAAAGTCATCACGTTTATTATAAATTTTAGTTGTCAGTTTCCCATCGACGTCTTTCTCTAGTTAAACATCCAGTCAAGAACCAGATGTGTCAGACTCTGTGGTGTCTTATTTCGAGTTCATTGGGATATACATAGGAATGAAAATGAATATTGTAAATTGATAAAACGTCGTCGATATATCTTAATGTCAAATTGAAGGCCAAAGCAAGAGACTGTTTTGTTTTTGTTTTTGAACAAACATGTCAGTAGTAATGCTAGTGCTTTTGTACATTTTAGGGATTCAATGAAACACTCTGCAGAGGAAGATGTTGTGCGACGGTCATCAGGCGATGTTTTACGAAATATTTCACAAGTGCCTCGTGAAGGAAAATATATTCCTCCTGCAATAAAATATAAAGTGTGATATGTGAATGCAGTGTATTATCTTAACGTCAAGATACATTTTATATTTTGGAAAAGAGAGGTAATTAGTAGTGGGAGTTATTGTATTTAAACATTGGAACACAATATTCACTTACACAAGTCTGAACTGCAAACCCTCTTTGTTGACGAAGTGCAGACACACAATTAATAAGGTCAAGATCTTTTTTCGCCAAACTTTCCTCCAGCAGATAATCTAGAGCTATGAATGTCCCAGTGCGACCAATACCTGCGCTGTTATGAGAATATAAGAAAAATTAATGTAATATAGGTCAGAATGACAGAACTAAAATTTCGATAGGGACTCTTGAAAAACATAGCAAGTAAATCTTTCAATTAAAAAGACACAAACACTGTCATATTAATAAATAATAGCCGTTCATAGGATAAGAAACTGTTAAATGATTAATGATAGATTTTACATACATTGAATTGAAATAATTTTTTTTCAATTCAAAAAGAAAAAAAAGCTTTTTAGTGTACCTGCAGTGGACCAGAATAGGTCCGTCTGATGTTGAAAGTCCACATTTAACAAGGTTTCTAAAACACAAGATAGAGTCTTCACATTCTGGTACCCTTGTTTCGTGCCATGCGGTAAAGTGAAAGTGACTGATGCGCATTTGCCTGTCTAGATTTTCAGTTTCCTGGTTGAAAAAGTCAGATGTTCTGTCTTATTATATCACACAATGCTCTCTTGTCACTACTGACAACTTCAATCTACATAAAGTTATATACATCACTTAATATTTAAAAATGAGAAAGTTTTTTAATTAATTCATTTGTTTGAACCTGCACATGTTATATACTCTTACAGGCTCAATTTCCTCTTTTCTGCAAAGAAATATAATTTTTGGAGTATGGAATTATATGGAATTGTCGCTAAACAAAATCCTGGTAAAAATAATTTAAATATCAACTCATTTATTTTTTTGACAATCATCTAGAGAATTATCCCAAACAGGGATACTTCTGTATCAAAGATCCTATGAAGATAAAAGTCGACTTGCTGACTTTCATAAATACAAGCTTTCTTACTGTGTAATCTCTGTAGCTGTCCTACATGCTTACTTTGGTAACTACAAGCTGTCTTATTGTGTAATTTCTAAGCTGTCCTACATGCTTGCTTTGGTAACTACAAGCTGTTTTATTGTGTAATCTCTGTAGCTGTTCTACATTCTTACTTTGGTAACTACAAGCTGTCTTATTGTGTAATCTCTGTAGCTGTCCTGTCTATCTACTTTGATGTGAAATGGTCCAATGAAGTCCTCAGTGTGTGGCCAATATCTCAAACATGATATCTGTAAATAAGATAACTGACTGTATTTAAATGAATGCGATTCGTACAGAACCTTTCTCATTCTCTTCATATTTAGATGTGAATGAGTGTCTAAACACTCAAAATATATATATCTGCTTATATTTACATCTTAAATTTTTTAATGTTTCCCACTTCACTTTACATTATTATTTATATCAAAAGACTTTATTTAATTATATACTATGTTTCATTTGATCTCTTCAGAAACACCCAAGCATGGTTTGGACAGAAATTCTTATTAATTAGAAACCACTGACTCATTAAACCGATACAACTGAACAGTTCTACAAACCTTTTCACCCTCGTATATATTTGTCAGCATCACCACCCTTGTGCAGTTATTCTGCCAGATCATGGCCCAAAAGTCTTTGAGTGTATCCGATGAAAAAGGACCTGTAATATACGGAATGTGAAGAAGGGCCTAAATACAAAATTAAAAAAAAAATCCCGTAGAACACAAAAAAATATTCAAAATATAAAAAAAAGAACCGGTATCACAAAAAATGCAAAAAAGACCTGTAAAACAAAAATGTTTTTATAAAGGAACTTTATAATATAAAATGTAAAAAAAAAAATAATAAATAAACTGTATAACACAAAATAGGAACTAAAACACACTATTTTAAAAGACCTGTGTAACATAAAATATAAAATGTAAAACAAAAAAGACCTCTTTAAAAAAACAAAATATAGAAAAGGGACCTGTATAGCATAAAATGTAAAAAAAGGACCAAAAACAAAAAAACAAAACAAAAACAAAACAAAACAAAACAAAACAAAAAAAACAAAAAAAAAAAAAAAAGAAAAAAAGAAAAAAAAAAAAAAAAGCAAAAACAAAACCAAAAAAACCAAACCTTTTTTAGCCTCTAAATTTAAAAGTAGGACGTGTACAACTTAAAATGTTAAAACAGAACGTGTATAACTTAAAATGTTTACACACAATATAGAAAAGGACCTGTATATTACAAAATGTAAAAAAGGGACTTGTATGACGCAAAATGACCTTAAGAACAAAATATAGAACTAAGGAATGTAAAAGAATATGTAAAATGAAAACGATCAAAACAAGTATTTAAAGACCAAATAATATTCACAAGGGACAGACAAAAGCATAATAAAGAAATAGAGAAAGTCATTCATGTTAAAAGGCATTGATCTTTTTTAAAGGGGAGGTGCTTGGGTACAGGACCACTTACCCTGTGTTCTGAATCCCAAAGGTTCTTCGACTTTTTTATATAAAATATTTTTCTATTACACATTCACAAAGTATTACAATTGAAAAAAACCAAAATATAACCTAAAACTAACATTTTATAAAAATGCACACTCTCTGATACTAAAAGAGAACAAGATTGGCGACTTCGACAGACGACGAAATGAAGATGAGCTACTTACCAACTGAAAGTAAAGACTTCCACATCTTCAGAGATTATTAGTTAAGTGATACATTGCTAATTATTTGCGTCCAACTGTTTGGGTTTCCCTTCTAGAAATAGTAAAAGTGACGACTTCCGTTCATTGACAATTGAAATGGAGAGTCGCAGGTGTAAAACATGAAATTCTCAGGACTGGAAGAAGAAAAATACGGGTAAAGTACGCAGGGAGGGGAGTCCCGTCCCCAAGCACCTGTGAGGGTATCTGCAGAACTGTAGCGATATGGTTTTATATTTAAGTCTTTGACCGTAACGCTACTGATCCCATAATGTAAATATGATTTTTTGGGGATGTATTTCGCCATTTTCCAGCATTGGTCAATCAGCGACCTTTCATTCCCTAATTCCAGATATTTCTATAGCCAACCTGTATATTTTATCCACCTCCTGTCCCTTTCTAGTCTTCTCTACAGTCCAATAAACTCGCTTGTTGTGGATTTGTTGTCGGATGGCATAAAATTCATAACAGGCGAGTTTATTTATGTGTAGAGACGACTAGAAAGGGACAGGAGGTGAATAAAATATACAGGTTGGTTATAGAAATATCTGGAATTAGGGAATGAAAGATCGCTGATTGACCAATGCTGGAAAGTGGCGAAATACATTCCCAAAGTGAGCAGAAAATCTTGCGTCGTATATTGCACGATATTTGCATTACGGAATCTGTAGTGTTAAGGTCAAAGACTTAAAAATAAAACCATAGCACTTCAGTTTTGTAGCTACTATGAGGGAAGTTTGATCACAACACCCCTTAGGAATTGAATCTTCTCAAGTGAGTATTTATAAAAGATTACCTTGTGCAGCAATATAGGCCTTCTCTCTATCGAATCCCTGCAATTATGTCATTATTAATAATTCATACGCAAAATTATCTCTAAAACATTACCATGTGTAATAAATGTAATTAGAAACTTACATTAATGTATGATGCATTAATATAATCTGTTTTGCCAGAACCTTCAGCCGGGTCCAGAATAACTCTTGAGTAGTCATCTACAAAGTAAGAAAGTAAAGTTTTCTTCCTTTTCTGTCTAGGTAAGTATTCCTTAACCTATTGAACGTGTTGTATAAAATTTATAAGAATTCAGTAGATTTATTTGATAAGAATAGTTGTTGCACACCGTCTTAATTAAATGGGTATTTTGATAATATTTTATTTTGAAAATATTTCTGAAAAGGAACATTTGAAAGTAAACTGCTGTTTCCGTATCATAATACTAGTTTTCTTGCATGTACAAGTTCCGTCCTTTACCAGCAAAAACAAACAAACAAATTTTAAAAAAAATCAACCAACCAAACAAACAAAAAACCAAAGTGAAAATATAAATATAAACAATCTTTGCAAAGAATTAATTAAAGAAATTATATAGATAATTGATTTATATCTATAAAACATAGAAAATGAAGAAACCGTTTACAAATATGTCAAGTCACCCGCGTGGCGCAGTGGTAGAGCGTCTGCTCTAAAGTCGCGGAGTAAGGAGTTGATCCTTACGTCGCGGATTCGAATCCCACTGTGGGACGTGGAGACCGGTCCTTCGGATGAAACCGTATAAACCGAGGTCCCGTGTCGCAGTACATGCTGGCACGAAAAAGATCCCTCAGTGCTCTATGGCCCTGAGAGCCGAGTATAGGTCAAAATTTGCAGCTCTCCATCGGCAAGTGGTGGCGTCTCTATATGAGTGAAAAATTCTCGAGAGGGACGTTGAACAACAAACAAACAAATATGTCAAAGTGTACACAGACATCACAAAATACTTACAGGGATATACTTTTCTATATCTATTTTTAGACATATTTGTCCATTTCAGAGCCTCTGTGTAAGCATCTGTCAATCCATTCGGAAGCGACTGAAACAAAAAATAATTACTTGAAAAGTGATTGGTCTGATATAACCAATGATATCCTATTCTAAAATATTTGTTCACAGATACTACCGTTTGTCAAACACTTTTATTTATTTTTTTATTTTATTGAAAATATTAGGTTAATAATTCCAATTATAGTTAATAGATTATTTCTACCACATTTAATTTACAAAATAAAAATTGTCGATAACAGTTTGCTGTATTCAGTTCTTGTCCTACACTTTACATCACAGCAGAAGTTATTGTTAAATTGTCCTCGGCCATGTACCTGAAATTCTTCTAAGAATGTGTTGTAAGTTTTCTTCCTTGCTACATCCTGTATAAAGGTATCAATGGACACACGGTATGACGTCAGATTGCAGTATTCTACTTCCTCTTCCTCCAACTCAAAATTCAGAAGATCTGGCACACTTTGATGGATTTCCTCAAGAACAATGACGTCATAGCTTTTTTCATTCTTTTTTCTTAACTTTAATTTGATAAATAAAGCAAGAGCCAGTATTAAAACACCTCCAAAGGAACCACCACAAACGATCAAGACACTGACCCAAATTTCGTCTAAAATAACAAAACAAAGTTGTTTGAAAATGTTGATTTTGTACCCAAGCGAACTAACTTTTCTTATAAATTTAATGTATTTCATACCATGATATGCCTTTTTCACTTTTCTCGATGTACCCGATGAAATGTTAAATGAGGTCTTCTGTCTCTTTTCTAAAATCAGATATTTGGTGTTGAAACGACTAGGTACGGTATAGATCGAAAAAATTCATTCCTTATATCATCTTAGAAAACAATGTTACCTTTAATCTCATTACACATTTTTGGGAAAATCTGTGATTCACAGACAGAACACTTCGTTTTTTCATCATAGCTTAGCGTGGTGCCAACTATGTCTGGAGAGGCGTTTTGAAAGCAGTCTACAGCTTTGCCTGATATGATGTCAAGTACACTCCGTGGGTTAATGACTTGAATAAAGAAAATATCATGCTAAGATATATTTAATTATAAAGAGGCTCTCACCACTCGTTTGAATAGCCGACTATTTTAAAAAGATAGAAAGATTATACTTTTACAGGAGTTGAACCACATTCACGATTCCAAGGGAACCAAGAGCACTACGTGTTCCAAGAATATTATGTTAATTTGTATTCCTGTTATCCAGGACGAAATTAAAACTCCTCTGAATATCAAGTTTCCACTGAAATGTTCTGACGACACTTGTGGCAATAAATTTGTTTCATTGGACATTTTTGTAGGACTTATCTACATTTGTATAGCATGGGGTTACTTGGTAATAAGAAACTTAAGTGTTTTGAATCCTCTAACTAATCACATGTACAACTTAAGAGAATCAATAGTACTCCTGGCTATTAGCAAGCCGCATTATACTGAATTTACTAAAGACTAAAAAACGAACAAAATATTGAATTGAAAATTGCCAAGAAAAACGTTAGCGTATGTTCCAAAATTTAAAGTTAGATAAGTCAAATGTTTTAAATGGGTGAACTTCATACTAGTAAGCAAATATTAAAATGAACTATTGCAACTAAAACAATTGGTAATGTTTATGACAACTATACGTTACCTAAGGGTCTAAACTCAAACAGCCTGATCTCTCCATTTCTCCGTAAGGTTAAAGTGTTTCCTTGCAGTTTTGCTCGACTCCTGATGTATTCTTCGTTGATTATTGTATTGTTAAAACTGAATTCATTGTAAAGCGTTTCATTGGAAGTTCCCTTTTCGTTGTTTATGTATAAATGGAACATTTTGTTTGTATTAGCTGGAATAAAAAAATAATTGTACGAATGATATGCCTCAATAATCCATAATTCAATCTTCAGGAGTTCTTACCTCCTCTGATGCGTATAAACACTGACGATACATTGTAGGATTTATCTAATCTGACACTCCAGTACTGCTCAGTTTGATTTTCTGTGAGGGAATATGTCATTGTGTTTCCATCTATGGCGTCCTCAGGTTCTCTCATTAACTTCACTGTACTCTGCGTGGCCCTTAGAGCATTTCCTGCAATATTTTAGTAGTTACTCCACATTTAATATTTATATCCACTGAATATTATCTCTTTTATTTCTTATAAAAACCACGGTCGTTTATCAATACTGAGCAAGCCACCTGTATAGATTTCTTTAGCAGTGGCTCTTCCATCAATGGACCATACAATGATGTACATATCAACAGTACAGTACTTAATCTACTTTATATAATTATATATATACCTATTTAAATATGAAGAATATAGTGTCTTTCTTTGATTATTAGTGTGGTAATAAACGTTGCGGCTAGTGCAGAAAAAAATGTAATATGTAATTTTTCTACAAAATCTGCAACATTAATTCCCATACTATTAACCAAAGAAAGCATTTTTATGGTTTGAATATTAACTTCTAACATATACCTGTTTGCATATATATCTTCAATACTTTAAATTATCCATGCTTATATGATATTGTTTTCAATCAACTACTTCACAAGCTGATGAAAATCTGTCATTCAGTTAACTGAGAGGTGACTGAAATTTACTGAAAGGTGACTGAATGACAGAAAAACTCTGCCATTTTGCCTCTTTTCCATATTTCCAGATCTTACAGTGACCATTTAGTTGACTGAATGGCAGATTTTCATCCTGTGAAATACAAAATTCCACACCAGATATCACAAAAGAATTGATATTTAAAAAGTATGGAACATATTTTGCTTTACATGTAAATCATCTGAGCTATTCTTGACTATTTTCAAATGGCACAATTCACACTCAGTTAAAAGTTCACTGCAAGGAAAAAAAAAACAACTCTCAGTTGCCACATTCTAAAATAAAAATATAATATGCTAATTTCTAATTGCGCAAATAACATACTAGTACCAGAATGGAATTAGTACTTCTGGTTTTTAAGAATACTGAACTTCAAATCCATCATCCTCTGTAGCTGATTTTTGGCATTTGAATAGTTAAATTAACTCACCATAAACGTGATGTGCTACAAAAATGCAAAGAAAAATATTCATCTCCATTTCTACAGCAAGAAAAAAATGGCATCTTCTCGTTTCCGCATTATTTACATTTCCTGCAACAAATATTGCTTTACACTATACGGGTTTAAAAATAAATACATATAACATCCTGCATTTGAAAACAAATCTCTAAGGCAAAACTAACTGTACTTTAAAATAGGAATATTTACGAAGTCAAAGAAAATTGTATCATTTTCTTATTACAGACTGTTAAGAAGTATAATTCCATTGATGATCATGCGGTTGAGAGTTACTATCGCAATCTTTAATAGCGACTTAAAATTATTACTTAGGAATAAAACATTCTCGAATGGGCCATTCATTGTTTATTGTCAAATTCTCATGTCATGTAACCCTCGTTTTTAGTGTACTTCTAAAAATCTATTAATCTTTTAATTAGAACATTAAAGAACACATCTACAACTGACATTAGATAAGTTTTTCACACACTAATTTTTGTGGTTGTCTATAACAGTATGCGATGTAATTGATTAATCCATTGTGGATTGTTTAACTTCCCATTTTTCACTCATATATAGACGTCCTCGTATGCCGGTAAGGGGTTTAAATTTAGACCAATACTCAGTACTTAAGGCCATCGAGCAGTGAGGGTTCATTATCGTGCCAACGATGTAATTGACATGTAAAGTAAGAGAGGTAGTGATGTAATTTAATGAATATACATAGTGCCCACATGTACCCTCTTTTTAATGAGAAGAAATATATGGAGATAACGAACAGAATTCAAGCTCAAAAGTCCATTAAACATTACAAAATAGGAGAAGAGCAAACACGGACCTCCAAAACATCAGTTCTTCTTCTAACACGTCCCTTTACGTAAATATTTGGCTTGCATAAGTGTTTTAAGAATACTTAAAGACTACAGATAAAGATTTTTCTGACTGTTCCATTCAGAAAGATATAGTTATGTTATATTTAATTATGTTCGCTTTCTCTCACACAAATACTAGTTTTATTTGTTTGAAAATAAATAATATCTAGATCTTATCGATAAGTTTTGAAGGAATGAAGTGTTTTGGTAATGAATCCTGTTACCAAAGTATATAATCGTATACTTAAAAAGGAGTAAAATATTGTAATTATGCGTAAAATTGCGTTCCTTCAGCAGAACAATAGATTTTAGCTTCATATATCTGGATATAGATATTAAAATTACTGTATAGAAAGCAATTACATATCAAACTGCCAAAAAGTTCCTGTTGTCACTAAGTAATTCTTAGGCAATTGCACTAAAATATGCATCTTACTGCATGAGAAAATTCATGATCTGTTATGGGAAAAACTCATGTACTGATCAATATTAATTATACCGATTACGTACAAGGTTGTGCTTGGGTTTGTTGTATACAATGTGAATTCCTCCTATCCGTTTCCTTGCACAATGGCAGATTTCAAACCAATATTAACATATTTCCGGTTTCCAAGTATAGTACCAACAACATCTAAAACTCATTTAGAAGCATGTAGCCTTTTTAATAGAAATCATGCAATGTATATGAATCTTCTGATTTTAAATGACATGTGCATTATTACTTAAAATTATTTTTTTTTATCAGCATGTAGCTTGCAAAAATATATTTTGCATACAAATCAATGTATTGAAGAATTTATTGGTATATTGCATGTATAACTTTAAAAAGTATATTTACATGATAAATAATCCAAAAAAAAGCAAACTTGCTTTCACAAAAAATATTCTTCTTATTCGTGGCTCACAGTTAACACACTTAACGAATTATTTCCAGGTGCTTCAAAGAGGACAGGAAATAAAGGTTGGTTTTCGTAAAATTTAGATAATTTAATTGTTTAAAACTTTATGGGTGATTTTGGGGGGATATGTCAACAAACCAAGATTAAATTAAGCACAAGTAAAGAGGCGAAAGAACATTCTTCTTATTTGCTGTTGTTTTCATTCTTTTGCTTTAGACAAAACCAAATGTAAATTAATGGCAATTATTACTTCATTTTTTTTTTTTCAAAAAATGTACATATTAAGGATTTTTAAAAAAAAATGTTTTTATACACCTGTTTCCTATCTTAGACAGTGGATTCAACGGCTGTATAGAAATCAGGTACTGTTAATCTAATCTGACGAAATCATAACTCAACTATAGTGTGTACAATATTTTAACTTTACAAGATTCCGAAAATAAAAAAGGGAGGGTGGATCCTGATATCAAAAGTCTTTAGATTTTTTTCAAGTATATTATTAGTATCTATATATAGTTTAATTAAAAATCAATACGATGATAATGGGGGTCAATACACGTCTTTTGGTGCTATAATGCATTTAATATGACCTTTTTGCATTGTAATTGCTTCTTACACATAAATTACTTTCTACTCCTCCACGACAACTGATCCCACCTCTAAATTTTGAGGTCCAATTTTGTTTCATTTCATGGGACTAATATTATTATTTTTTTAAATAAAAATAATAATATTATTATTTTATATATTATATTATTTTATATTATTTTTTTAATATAGATATTTCTTAAAGTGTTGATTTTAAGGTGAAATTGGGGCTATTTTTACCTGGACTTTCACATTATATTTGCTTTATTTGTCAAAATTAGACGATAGAAATTCGTAACGGTTCTTTTAGTTATAATTCGGGATCAGTATAAATCATTTCATTGCACAAAATAGCTCTATGAGCAGTCTGCATGGAAAAATAGGAATCTAACCATACCAGTACTGTAAATACTTCGAAAGAGAAACCTTAACTGATCATTTTCTTCTAAAATATATTCCGCCACAAAATATAGTCCTTTACTTTATGTTTTTATGGAATATAGTCGTGGTTGTAAGACTGAATATAGTTTAATATCTTTTATATGAAATCATGTCTTCCAAACATGTGTTAACTGTCCTGTTTTTTTTTAAATTTTACAAGAACATGGTATAATTGCACATGCACTCATGTCATTGTTTGTTAAATCAGTAAACATCTATTGTGCAACTTCGTAAAACTATATCACAAGTGAGATATTGATTGATTTATTATATATTTTTTCCATTCGAAAATGGGACGTTACCAAATACTGGTGAAGGGTTTCAAACTTAAAGCATAACTGAAGAAAAATAACGATTTACAGTAATGAAATATTTGACAATATGGAATTGAAGAGAAAATAGATACTTTTTTGTAAAATATATTGATAGTATTAATATTCCATGTTCTCCTAAATACTTTCTAAATAATTAAGTTTTTTATTTTTATACAATTCCTCTATTTCCTATGATTTCATATGGGTTCTAAAGGTTCATATTGTCTGTTCTGTAAAATTTTCACACAATTCATCTGGGCTGCGTTTGTGCCTCTTTTAAACTACTCTATTGGTATGTGCGAATTATACCACGCGCAAACGCGTACGGTACCGCACAATTTGACTCCATGTTTGAGGAGCAGTGCATAATTTTTATACTCGCATAAAAAGTAGTTTTAAGAGGAATTATAAGTTGTGCATATACCATATGCTTGAATAAAGAACGATGTCTTGGTAAGTCTGCATCTTGGACGTCTCCGTTTCAACTTTCAACTTTTCTATCGTCGATCTCCATCATTCATATAGCAATATTATCATATACCATTATCACCTACGTATGGAGTTAATGTCTCCCAGTTGATTCGATACGAAAGAACATACCCTGCGTACGAACAATTTCTAAAAATAGGCAAAGTATTGACAAATAAGTTGATAAAACAAGAATATTAACAGTCTTTTTTAAAGTCAGGATTTCGCCAATTCTATGTTCGATACAATGATTTTGTCAGCAAATACGATCTATCATTAAGTCATATCTTGAGTGACGTTTTTCATACAAATTGTTGGACCATTGCTTTCACACTGAATTGTCTACGGATTTTTTTTCCGTTTGTCGGATCGTGATAATGAGCACACAGCGGGTTTAACAGGTCGACAGGGGATGCTTACTACTTGGCACCTGATCCCACCTCTGATGTTTTAAGAGGTCCGTATTTGCTCTGCTCAGAATAATTTGTTTCAATGAACTTAGGCTTGATACTGTTCGTTATCTTTATATTTCCTTTTAGAGTGATCGTGAATGGGTTTGTTTCATCGAGGAAATTCGGAATAGTATCATCCAATGAAGTAAATGATAAAGTAAAGAAGATAAGTGATAAAATTTACATAGATATAATACAATATCGTAATATCATACGCAAAACATCTAGGGATATTAATGAAATAAAAATCAATTTTATATTTACTTTTCAAAAAAAAAAAGATAAGAGGCCATACTACTTTTGTAACACAATTTTGCCTGATTTTAAAATCCCTGAAAAATTATGTTTTAAAGATGATACTTTCTTTCTTGAATTCGAGCCCTTTTTAAAATTCTCCCATTCGCTATCGGGTAAATGGCGATAATAAAAAGGGGTCAAAATGTCCCTTATACAGATTTGGCTAAGTGGTTTATTTATAAGAGATAAATATTGAATGTATCAGTGGTCAGTAACTACGGATTAAATCATCCAATCTCGAGAATCCTAACCGAGTCATTTCGTATTTGTTGATCACAAGTGCTGCACTGTTTTAAAAATTATAAAAGCAATGAATGGTGAATGCAAATCTATTGTTGATCTATACGATTACAGGGCCTCTAGAGAAAGTATGCATTTTATGTGAAAACAAATACATTCCTGGCTCGAGTTTTGTTTTTTGTTTGTTTGGTTTTTTTTAGTTAATAAATGAGTTTTCCCATCCTTGAAAAAGACAGTATATGCTTTCCAAAATATTTTTTAATATATATTGGTTAAAAAAATCAAATTAGGTTGAGTTCTATCATCATGGCTTGCCTTGCGTCTAAATTCTTTTTCTTGTCATCTTTTAAAAATAATTTATCACACGTCTCTCAAAGGTTCTGATACCATCCCCTAAGACAATAAGTTAAACAAAACATTTCTTGTATAAAACCTTGGTTTAGATACTACCTCTATAAGCCTAGAACATGCAAAATGATGTACTTAAAACTTGTAATCAAATCGTGAGATAGATGTCAAATGCAACATCATTGCAATATTTATTCACAAATGGAATACATGTACATGTTTGGCTGTCTGTTTGCTTGTTTGTTTTTTCCCATACGAGACGTCACAAAAACTGGTGAAAATTCTTCAGCGTACCAAAGCTTACCGGGACACGGGACCGCGGTTTAAAGTCCCCTGACTTTCAGTCTTATGCCAAGCTCCTGACAAAGGAACAATCACTACCTATATTAAGAGTCTTAGATTTGACGCACCACCGGGAACAAGAATCAAACTCGAGCCTCCCGACCACAAAGCTAGCGCGATACCACTAGCCTACCGGGACTGATTAATTATTTTAAAGCCAGAAATTACCTATAAACTGTATTGAATATTGCGTCAAGAAAATAATGGACTGATATATTCACAATTCTAATATAATCCCTATACAATTTTAGTCCTGTATAACTCAACATCTTTATAGTACAGACCGTTTCCAGAGGCCAGGGTTCGATTCTCAATCGCCGCGAAACTTCAAACCAAAGACGTTAACATAGGTAGTGACTTTTCCTTCCCCAAGTGCCTGCCACTAGAAGTGAAAGTCATGGGCCTTTGGATAATGCATTAAAAACTAAGGTCCTGTGTCGCTGTAGGCGTTGGCTCGATAAAAACTACTCTCACTACATTTAAAGCCATTCACCAGTATACCACTATGTGTTGTCGTTTCTAAATGAGTGAAAAATTCTCGAGTAGGACATTATGCACAATCAGTCAATCAAAAGGTATAGATCTGTGTTTAACAAATTAACCGGTACAATCAAAACTGCAATTTATTTCAGTTACAGAAAGGAATCTGATGTTTATCTTTTTAAGGTCTCAATATTTTTTACGCTGTGTAAGAAACATTTTAAAGATTTGCACCATACATTATAACACGATCATTGAGCATAGCTTGCATATAAATTAGATGAATAGAAAAGCAAACAACCCTTCGAATTCGAATTTAATTGCCAAATAAAAGGAAAAAAAAGAAATGATATCAATTCGATCGGAGAGCGGCACTTGCAGAACGTATGTCCTTGTCAAAGAAGTGACAAGGTTTCAGATTTCATCAGCAAGTTGACACAATGACATTCTTCTTCTTATATTGCTCAATCCCTGTGCAAGAGCGTCATAGAGAAAGATATACTGCTCCTGTGATACAAAAGTAAAGATCATAAGCAAAATTTAATTTGATTTACTATTTTAATTTTTACTAGCAAATTAAAAGGCACAATCAGCTTTGAAACATATCTGAGATTGTATGGAGCTATCTGAGTTTAGAGACAAAGATAATATCTACACTTTTGCTTTGTAGACCCAATCCAATAATAAAAAATCCAATATACCTGGTATTAGGAGCATTGAATCTTAATTGAGGTTTTATCGAATGCACCCTTTGCCCTATGGGTTTGGACACACAAATGATGAATCTCTATAATTGACCCTTCTTCTAATAAATCAATGCAATAAATCAGGTGTAAATCTTACCATTGTTTGTACGGACTGTGCCTTTTGTGCGTTTGAAGACACAATTAATGATACTCACACTCTGTGAATCACTCTTCCAAAATATAATCCAAATAATCAGTTGTGAATCTTACCTTAGTTTGTACAGAATGTGCCCTTTGCTGTCTGAGTTTGGAGACACAGTTGATGATATCCACACTCTCCATTGTAGATCCTTCCTCCAACAAATAATCCAGAGCAATAAAGGTCCCCGTTCTCCCTATACCCGCGCTGTAAGGTAAACATTATCATCCATGTATAGTTCAATCCCAGTGAACTTCGAATAAAGGACACTACAGAATCGACCACATCTATTTCATATTTTGTTTGAATGACTACAATAAAATGACCATCTTACAACTAACTGGTCAAGGTAGCCTAATGGTAGGGCGCTCGCTTCGTGATCGGGAGGCCCAGGTTCGATTCTCGTTCTCAAACCTAAGACGTAAACATAGGTAGTGACTGTTCCTTCGCCAAGCGCCCGGCACTAGAAGTGAAATTAACGGATCTTTCGGATGAGACATTAAAAATCAAGGTCCCGTGTCACGGTAGGGGTTGGCACGATAAAGAACCTTCACTGCTCAATGACCCCAAGTGCCGAATATTTGTCTAAATTTGAAGCCCTTAACCGGCATACGGTGACGTCTCTATGAGTGTAAAATTCTAGAATTGGACGTTAAACAACAATTAATCAATCAATCAATCATTTTTATAACTAAACTATATAACTAATATAACGGGATTACACTTTTCCATCGTCAACTTCTCCTTTTAATGAAACAATTTTCTACTGTCATATAGTGTTAATATTTACCAGCTGATTCCTGTATGCAATTGCATTTTTGAATACAATCAATTATTGAAGCGAGGCAGGCCACTGACAAAAAATGTTAATGTAACAGGTTTTTTTTTCAAAATTTTAATTTAACATTTAGTAAACTCTTTGGTCGTAATAATGATGTTTTTGCAAATACAACCTATTCTTGTGTCGTACTTTGACATTTATCTTGTCAATTATGATGCCTTTGCAATTATATCAGGGGATTCTACTCGTTCTAGGAATCTGTTCCCTCTTTTGGTGTTTCTGAGGTCTTTGTTCTTTCTCTCTATTAACGATTTGTATTGCTGACAAGATTTATGAGATTGATCACTGTTTTTATCTTCATTTTATTCATAAAAGAGAACATCGCTTGCCTAAAATATCAATTTTAGAAAAATCAATTTTTATCATTAGATTTTCTGTCCCAATTCATTCTCTCGTTATCTCCGAAAGTACAGAAAATATATGCCAAAAAACCTTCGAGGGTTCTTGTATTTTCGCGTTATTCTTCGTTTTCTCAAAGAAACGTAACGTTTAGTGTTTTTCTTTACCTGCAGTGGACTATGATTGGACCATCAGAGTTAGGTCTGCCTTTTTTCACAAGGTTTCGAAAACAGAGAAGAGCATTTACATTTGACGGGACTTCACAATCAGGCCAACCAGTGAAGTGAAACTGGATCACTTTCCTCCTTTCGTCTTTCTTTAGACAAATATACATAAAAGAGCTTAAAAACCCTGAATATCATGTTCAGCATAATTAATTACTAAAAATACGTACTTCTTCAGTATTTTGTATATTTTACTGATAGTGATGACGTATAATGACAATTAGATCTCTTTAAGTGTGATGTGACCTGTCGACAGGGGATTCTTACTCTTCTGGCACCTGATCCCACCTCTGATGTTTTAAGAGTTCCATGTAACGTTTCATTGAAAAATACTTGTAGTAATGGGAACGTTCACGTATATGTAGACGTACAAAGAATGTCACAAGAAGTAATATAATAAATAGATTCACTAGACATGTTAGCAAACAGTCAAGATACATTGCCTGTTAAATTTTTTCGGTCAAAGAGATTCAGTAATTTTTGAAATTCACTTTTTTCACTATATGTCTTTTGTTTACTACCTGTTGCACAATGAAGTATCTTATTATATACATTTCATTGATATCCTCTGATTCCAGCTGTATTCTGAAGTTACAGATCTCTACCACATCATCTGGCCAATACTTAAGACATTTCATCTTCAAAACAAGATAGGTTCTTCAGAACATTTGAATTGATTGTTAGAATTATTGGTTACAGGATCTATAGAATGCTCTTAATGACTTCAGTGATTTATCTTACCTTGTCTCCTTCAAATAAATTTGTCAGCATCACGATTCTTGTACAATTTTCTTGCCAAACCATTCTCCAGAAATCTACCAGGGTTAATGATGTAAAGGGTCCTACAAAACGAATTTACAGCCGAAATATGGCTGAAATATTGCCGACTCGGCATTAAACAATATACAATCAATGATCAATCAAAACGAATTTAAAGAGGTCATGAGATGCGGATGCGAGATGTTCAAAACAAGAGACCAAGGATCCATTATGCTTGCCCAAGTTATTGTTTGCATGTTAGTATAATTAATTTGTATTCTTTCTCTTCTAGAGAAGTAGTATTCAAAGATAATTTTCTATATATTCCTTTGTCAAACTTCCCTTTATTGCGATCCCCAGCTAACCCTGGGACCATGTTTGAACAAAATTGAATCTACACTACAAGAGGATTTGGCATATAAATATGACTAACTGGCTTTGTTGGTCTTGAAGAATTTAAAAATGCTTTCCTTTATATTCCTATTAGACAGCATATTGTGGCCTTCATCCAGCCCTGGAAGGCATGGTTTGAAAAAAAAATGAATTTGCAGTTTTATGGGGATACCGGCACATCACTATTACTAAATATTGCCCTTCCGATTTTTAAAGAAGATTTTTAAATAATTTAAATATTCTAATATAAATATATTACTCTTTTTTGTAGCCTGCCTCCAGGAGTATCATACGATCGAAATGAATATTCATTTCAAAGAGATGTTTGTATATTTATTTGAATTTTTGTATAACTCTTGTTGAAAGGAATTTAAAAGATTTTGCTAAATTTTCTTATGTCAAACTGAAATTCCCTATTGCCACCCTATCCTTGCCAAGATATTTATTGAATAAAGTTGAAATTCTACAACGCATAAAAAAGTGTTTGAAATATTTTCACACTGTTTACCATATGAAACTTTGATCCCATGTTGTGAACCTGCTCTAGTCCTATTGGTCTTATTAACTAATATCTACAGCACTTGACTATGCTTACCTGTCACATCACTTCAGATGATTTTTAAGTATTTTATTTAAAACATTCCCAGATGAACATATCTTGAGACCCCACTCTTTACCAGGGGGTAAGATTTGAGCAAAATTCCATTAAGCACGAAATAGCATATGCTCCAATGTATAGATAATCTCATAACTCCCGCCATCCCCACCCCCTTTTAAAAAAGAAAAATGTTTTGAAATACATTTCAGAATATTAGAAGCATTTATCATCTCAACATTGCTTTTATTGACAAATATAAATATGGACATATGTCTCTGTTCTTTTCATTCCATGCGGTGTGTTACACTAGTCTTCTAATAATAATACACTAAAGTCACAACTTATAATTCATTTTCAATACTCTTCCTATCAATATTCAATCATTATATGCATTCATGAAAATAATGCTGAACTAGTTGCTTATCTAGTTTGCAATACAATTCTTTTGTTACATTCAAATTCTTTATTTTTGTGTACCTTGTGCTGCAATGTAGGAACGTTTTCCTTGATTGTCCTATAATAAATGAATTTTTTTTAATTTAATATTGAGTGGAAATGCTCTTAGGAAATAGCCTGGAAAGTATTGGTTAATCTGATAAAAAGTGACCAGCGACTAATTACTCCTTCCTGAGAATACTTAAATGTTTGGAAAAAAATCCGGTTTAAAGATTAAGACTTGAAATTTTATAGGCACATGTTTGCAAACCTCAATATAGCAGGCATTGATGTAGTCGTTCCTTCCTGATATGCCACATGTATCAAGTACGACTCTACAAAAATCATCTAAAATCAAAGCAAAATGAATTAATATTAAAAAATATTTCCGCATTAATGAAATCGAGAATATGTGTTATTTTCCTCGTGATAAACATCAATCTGTAGAACATTTTTTTTCTAATAGTCCTTTTATATTGATATGTTACAAATTTAAAAGATCATATTAATCTTTCCTTCTCAAAAAATGAAGAACTTTACATAGACATTCTTAACTGAATTCAAAATTTATTTTGGGCGGAAAGGAGGCATAAGAAAATATTACTTTATACTTTTTTCCCCAAATTTAATTATTGAATCTAGTCACATTTTTAAACTGACTGTAATTTCATAAAAATTTGCATACTTTTTACTAATCCTGGAGTCAAAGAACGAATCAATGTATCCTAATGTATGTACCATTACCTTAACTTTCGTTTAAAAAAAGAAGGATAGTCAAAGATCTATACAGACAAAAACATGTGCCTTCTTCATTTGCATATTTAATTAAAATTTTGAAAAGTTTTAATTAAACAGGATTTTAAAACAAAACTCTTTTTTTCATAGAAAATAATGAAGATTACAAACAGTAGTCAAGCTCAAAAGTCCATTGGAACAATACAAATTGGGGCAGATCAAATATAGACTTCTAAAAACATCAGAGGTGGGATCAGTTGCTATGGAGACTAAGCATCCACTGTCGACTGGTCACACCCGCCATGTGCTCCTTGCCATGATCATGATCGAAAAAAATCCGTAGGCAATTCAGTTTGCAAATAAATGCCCAACAAGTTGTATGAAAAACGCCAATCAACATTTGACTAACTAACGATAGATTGTATTCGTTTACAAGGTTATTATCGACCATGGAACGACTTTAAATGGTACTGTTGATATCCTTGTATCACCAACATATTTGTCATTTATTTTTTATTTTGTTTATTTTTCGAATGATTGTCATCATATTCTTTTGCTACAATCAAGAATGCTGTAAAGAAATTATTTTTTCACTCAAAGTTCGAATTTCAGTGAAAGCATATCAAAGCAGTTTAATGGTAAGAACTTACTTAATAAGGACAGAGAACAGTTTAATCGGATACTTACAAGGGTACACATATCTGTATCGATTCTTACAAATGTTCTCCTTCTTCAAAGCCTCTGTGCAGAGGTCCAGGAGCCCAGTCGGTAAATTCTGAAACATGTACAGAAATGCTTTATCTACACTCATTGTGCCATAAGTAATCACAAAAAATTACAAACGCTCGGTTTAACATAAACTTTACAATTTTTGCAAACTATTTTTCTTAAATATATTTTATTTAGATTTACCCCTCTGTATATTAGTTTGGCAAACTTAAGAAAGATATATGTCGTTCTTAAAAAGACTATCATACCGCGAATTCGTCTTCCTCAAACGTGCTGTTCTCGCGTCTGATACGATGATTATTGATAAATGTGTCCAATGATAATCTATGACTTGTGGTGTTCGAGTACTCAACATCTCTCTGTTTCTCGTCTATGAAGACATTTACATATGCGATTTCCTCCAAAAATATAGAGTTTGCCTCGTCGCCAATAATGTTTTGAGATACAGAGAAGACATGCGTTTGCTCTTCAATTGCTCCTATCACTTCCGGTTGATTATAGCTGATGCATTTGCTGGTATCTGTAATATCTAATCTAAGCAAAGTATCAAATAATTATTTTCAATATAAGCGTTCAATTGAGCATTATTTTAAAAAAGAATAAATATAAATTTTGGATTAATTGTGAGACTAAATTCTAGGTTTATAAGAAAGTTTTTTTTTTATCATTTAATAAGTACGTATTATAAGATGCGTGTATATGAGAATTTAAGTTTTTCATCGCGCCCTTTAGATACACTAAGACGTATAATCATTTAACACATTAAATAATGGCAAATGTAACAGTAGATTTTTTCAGTCAAAAAGGGTTATTGATCTTAGAGAAAGATATTCGGCCCTCATATACATGAACATCATAAATTGATAAATCTATATTTTAAGTTACTGCTTTAAATTAAAATATGCACATACTAACATAAAATTTATTAAGCAAGTATAAGTAGTATGTTTTTGATAATGCAAGGATTACAACGTCTCAAATATTTAAAATGATAAGATACCTTTTAATTGCAAAAAAGAAACCTAGTAAACACAAAACAACCACTCCAAAGATCACTGCAGTAAGATCGGTCGTAGAAGATCCGTCATCTGAATTCGAAAACAATCTTCTTTTGCATGATTTTGTGAATTACGAGGTCGTTCAATAAATAATGCAAGAAGGTCGTTCAATAAATAATGCAAGAAAAAAGAAAAATAGGAAAAGCACGATTCTTAATATTTTCAATCCCTTAAAACATTCCCTGTTAACATTTACAAATATCTAAAGTTTTTGTAACCATGACCAGAAAACCCCAGCATACTCATTTTTAGGGATGAATAGCACTACCATTTAAAATTGTAAATTCTTCCTTTGATTGCTTTCTTGAGTTTTTGGAAGAAAAATATCTCACAATGGCTGAGATCTAGGGAATATGGAGAATGTTTTGTAAAAGTTTTGTAAACTTTCCTTTCTCCAAAATTTTATTTCTCTGTGCTTATTTGCAGCAGCGTTGTCAGGTATAGAAAAAATACTCTAGGGACCGGATTTAGACTAGCTTTGCAGGAAATCTGCTTAATTTTCCTGAGTGAAATTTTAACATAAAAGTTACCATTGATAGTCCTCCCATTGACTGTATGTACATATTTTACTGGACCTCTTGAATAAAAAGAAAATTGAAAAAAAAAGTATTTGTAGCCTTTGCTTCTGTTTGCAATAATAGGACGACAGCTTTCTCTTTCATTCCACATTTTATTCTTAATCTTCCTTTTCAGCTATAAAAAGTACATCCATGTTTCCTCATCCATCCCTCAAGTTCATCAAATCTTTTTTTGTAAAAATTTTTATTTTCAAATGGACCATTGGCACATTTAACATATGTTTTTCTTGGGCAGCTGTAAGGAAATAAGGCATTCATCTGATAGAATTATTGTTAGATTCATTTCATTTGTCAGAACTCTATAAATTGTTGTGACGATGACATGTTTCTTGTCTTAGCAATGTCTATCAATGTAAATCTGGCAATTTTTACAATTTTTAAATATCATTTTGCTCAAAGCATCGATATTTTTGATGCTCCTACAGATTTCGATCGACCAATATTACTGCAATCTTCTAAATGTACTCTTTTTACTTTTGAATTTACGAATCCACCTGAAAACTATACAGCTTAAAAGACTAGTCTTTCCACATATCAAAATCATATCTTTAATACGGGTTTTTCAGCTAGTTATGTAATGAAGCACAGTTTTCAAATACAATGTACGCCATCCTTTTCATCTTCTTGGCAGAGATCATTGAGATCATTTTTTAACACAGTTTTTAGCTCAGTGTAGTGACCATGCTAACTTTAAAAATGATTTCTTTAGCGACAACAATAGGAAAAAGCATGGGGTTTTCTGTGATTAGGAGTTCTTTGATAGAACTGTTCAACTGTTCAATATAAAATTAATTACTTCTACATTTTTTATGATAATCTATGTTGCATTACTTATTGAAAGACCCTCGTATACCAGAAACACAGCCTGAAATAGTAATGGATAGCTATAGCTTTAATGTCAACTCATCAGCAGAATAAATGTCTCAACCAATAAGGTTTGAGCGAATGTTTAATGTCTATTTTTGTAT